CAATAATAATAATAATAATAATAATGATAACGACGACGATGATAATGGAGATGGTAATAATAGTAATAATAACAGTATTAATATTAATAATAATAACAGTCACTGATTTTACAGCACTTTCTTGAAAAATCATCTTTACAAATCAAGTTTTAAGCCCTTTCTCTAAAAACAAGCTAAGGGGTAGCATTAAGGTCGATTTCATAACATAATGATATTTGCGATCCTCCCAATCATCCTAGATTGCCCCGAGAGTCTCCGAGCGCAGTTTAATAAGTTTTTTTTTCTTTTTTTTGTCTCTTCTCCTCCTCTTCGGCAGGCAGGTCCTCCGCCGACCCAGAGTTTGCACGGGGTAGGAGTGTGTACTTCTCTCGGCAAGGAGTACACACCCAATTAGGTACTTTATCTGGCGAGGTAGTACACCTAATAGGGGTACTGCATATGGCATGGAGTACACCCTATAAGGTACTACATCCGGCAAGATACGACACCCGAAAAAAAGTTTTATATCCGGCAAATTACAAGATCGAGTAAGATATCATATTCGTCATGGTACACACTCCACCCAGCATGGTACTACACCCGTCCAAGGTAGTACATCTGTCAAGAGAGTATAACCGACAAGGTACCACGCCCGGTGAGGCCAAACAACCGAAAAAATAATATACACCGACACACTACCAAACCGGCCAAGGAATGATACCCACAATGCTACCGCGCCCTGCAAAGTACCCCACCCAAAAGGGCACCACGACCGGCAAGGTACATACGCCCTAGAAATATTGCATCCGGCAAATTGCTGCGCCTGGAACGAGAATAAGCTACCCTCGGCAAATCCACCGCTTCTGTCGTGACAGCTTAATGATCCGAGCACGCTGTTCTGTCGCGAAAGGTTTGCTGTTATATACGATGAAATACCAATCATCATATTCCATTTTTTCTTATCGGGGCAAATGCACTTGACAGGTTGATCATGACTGACAGCAAGTTGACAGGCTGGTAAGGATAATTCATCTCGTAGGTGGCTGATTGATGGTGATTATTTGAAATACAACGACTTTATTATTAAGGCATTCGGTCACAATCATCACCAATGCTCACGTGTTTCCTCGCCTCCCATAAATAAATAAAATGAATAATTAGACACATAAATCAGTAGATTAACGAACACAAGAATTCTAAAATAAATCAGAGAACAGTGTGTGGTAATATAAAGGTAAGGAAACGCTCTATAAAATCCACGCGAGGGTAAAGAGCGCACAGCTGATGCTCCTCAGCTGACTGGCAGGCAAGGGGAATCAGCCAGTTTACTTTACGACACTGATGCATCAGAAATACATCAAACCTTATCAACTTCAAGAACGGAGATCCAGGTTACCTTCTCCTTACTAAAGTTCAAGATTTATGGACGAGTTATATCAGGATGAGGAAGGAATTAAGAATGTATAGCTGATCCGGATGTATTTCTATTTTCAGAAGCGTCTCACATTCACACACACACACACACACACACACACACACACACACACACACACACACACACACACACACACACACACACACACACACACACACACACACACACATATATAAATATATATATAAATATATATATATATATATATATATATATATATATATATATATATATATATATATATATATGTATATTTTTATATATTTATAATTATATATTTAAATAATTTTCTTTTACTTTTTCTGCACTGTGTGTGTGTGTGTGTGTGTGTGTGTGTGTGTGTGTGTGTGTGTGTGTGTGTGTGTGTGTGTGTGTGTGTGTGTGTGTGTGTGTGTGTGTGTGTGTGACTCTTCCGGAAATAGAAATACATACCGATCAGCTAAGCATTCTTATTTCCTTTCACATACTGATATATGCTGATAACAGCTTTCTGCACGTTTCCATCTTGCACGGCCTTGCATGAAAAAACTAAGCGAAAATAAATTGATTACGTCGAATAAACAACAACAAGGAAACTAAATATAGAATCCCATTTTCATCAACTCTTGCAATAGTTTAATAAATAAAAAAAAACTTGCTTGCGAAAACAGTGGAAGGAACCTGCTGACGTCCTCAATATGGCAGTCGTTCGGTCTGACAAACGAATTTTTTTCACAAATTTGGTGAAAGGCAGTTGCTTAATGTTTTGGGAGTCGATTCATGTAACCAAACACAAGTCCTGCATAGAATGATAAGTGAGCGAGAGTGCGTGCAAGTCCATTAGCAAGAAATGGACTGATGAAATAAACAACAGCGAACCGCGTGCTCCCTCTGCCATTCTGTTCTCATTTAACCACTATTCCGTTCTTTCCTGGCTAATTGAGGGGGACGAATGCATCAAAGGCATTTTGTTTGAAAGGGAAAGTGTTGGACCTGATTTACGAACGGCGTTATTCCTTCCTTGTTAAAATATTTGTTTTTTTTCCAGATCAGGAAGTTAAATAGCATTATTGCGATAGATAGGCAAGATTCGCAGAATGAAAATGATAAAGTGAGAGTATGGAAAGCAAATTGAAAAGGGTATACCATGTATATAATAACCATCATAAACACGTTTCACAAGAAATCGTATTACATTAATTCCCCTTTCAAACGCATAAAATTCCAAAACACGCAAACCACAGAACCGTTTCAGCGAGACGGGGAGCGCGCATGGCCCACGTAAAGTCGCAAACCAGCTGACTCGTGTTCCGAACCCTTGTTCCGGCCGCCGCCTTTCAGTCGAGTTTACCATAGCGTTTGCAGCATACTTTCGCTCTTATCGCCCTCGCCGCAGGAACAGCTTCGGCCGTGCCCTTATTATTCCACTGCATACGAGCAAGGATCCCAATTTACCGGGGATTTGAAGCCCCTACGACGGGTAGCGTTCGAGGGCATCCGGCGTGGGACGAGGGAAGGGGATCCCGTGTCTTGATGGGGCCTATTAACCTTCCTATTTGCCCGGCTTAGATAACAATGGCGGGGACTTACGAACTCTTACAGCGAAGGCTCGTCAGCAAGGATAACGTCGAAGAAAGCTTTAATTGCCTTGAGGCGGTCCGAGTCGCGAATACTACTAATAGCGTCTGGATAGCGCAAAACAACGCAAAAGTTCAGCGAAGAGAGTTGTTACTGAGGGGAGGCGGGGCAGGGGGGGGGATAAGGTGAGGGATAATCTTTGTTACTTAGATGGTACTACATCAGAGGGACGAGCACGCCCTGGGTCGAGCGGTGAGCAGAGAGCCAAAAGTCTGGAGGGGAGCAGATCGTTCAAGCCCGATATTCTATTTGATTTTTTCTCGATTTTATTTTACCTAGCATAATTAGTAAGCAAGCTAATTGGACGGCCAAATGAATCTTTATTTGGTACTAAAACTGACCTGAGAAGCAGAGGCAAGGGAAATTTATCCAAGGTACTCCAGAGCAAGACAAACACTTACAAAGATGACTGAATACGCCCCCTTCGATCTTCGATGAACCTGGAGCGAGGAGGCTCATTATAATTACTTAATCTTTTCAGCAAGATGGGAGCGCGGAGTTTGCTCGTTTCGTCCCGATGCTCCAGGCGGACAATTTGTTCTGTTTCTCTCCTGTGCTCTTCGCTCCGAGTGACAATAATTAAATGTGATTACGAATAAGGGGATGTGGCTGATGTGGAGAGGGAAGTTTCTCAGCAATCTTGAAAAAAAAATCGAATACCTCAAAGTGTTCTCAAACTTTAGTATTATCCACGAGGAAGTGAATGAAGGGGGAGAGGGGGTTATTACCTCTTAATAATGTTTAATAACATGATTTCGCAGGCCAGTGAAGTTCCATCGCACTCGGCATACACAATTCTGACTTGAACAAAGAAAAAAAAAGAACTGGGAAAAAAAAGTATTTTGGTTCCCGCGGAAGAGCGGAGCGATGACGTGGCACTCTTCGTCGGATCGCGGCACTTGATGCTCATGTTCACGCCGAAAGAGGCTTTCAGCGCCTACCTATCTCGAGGACACCTTCAAAGTATTCATTTTGTGCTGAAAGATCAAATTCCGCTGATTTCTTTTTTTCTCTCTCTCTCTCCCTCTCTTTTTAATGGGTACCGACGAAGTGCAAAGCTCATCCATGGTAAGTTTCTGGCCCGAGCCGATATTTGGACTAAGTTGTAAATGTGTGTAAATGCGCTCCTGAAAAAAAAGAGAACCAGGGCGGCCTTTCTCTGTCGGTGTTGATAGCGTGAAATCGGGGACACTGCAATGCAATCATTCCGCATCGAGAACAAGAATAAAAAAAACATCTGCCAAGTTTAGTGTTAGTGTTGTGTGGTATAGATGCATTGATATCTCTGACATAAGAGAAGAACACAGTACCATCACTGAAGAACTCAACGTAAACCCAGAGAGGTAAATCTGTCATCATACAGAACCCTAGTAACAAAGACTCCTCTAAACTAAGATGTGCATCACTAATTATTACGAATTTACAAAGACTATATTCCTTAAAATCCATTCTCCTTGTCAATTGGTTCATTGGCCTGACCATAACAACAGAACCTAACCTTGGCATGACAGAAAATCGTGGTAAAGAAGCAGCGGAATAGATATAAATACTCTATGTCTCTGTCTGTGTGTGTGTTTGGTGGTCGCTCTCACTCTTTCGCTCTCTCTCTCTCTCTCTCTCTCTCTCTCTCTCTCTCTCTCTCTCTCTCTCTCTCTCTCTCTCTGTTCCTATCTCCTCCCTCACTCTTACTCTTACTCACACCCCCACCCCCACCCCTCCCCCTTAATATCCCTTTCCCTCTCCCCCCCTCCCCCTCCCTCTCTCCCTCTCGTTCTCCCCCTTCTCCTCTCCCTCCTCTCCCTCTCGTTCTCCCCCCCTCCTCCTCCTCCTCCTCTCCCTCTCGGTCTCCCCTCCCCCTCCTCTCCCTCTCGGTCTCCCCCCTCCCCCCTCCTCTCCCTCTCGTTCTCCCCCCCCCTCCTCCTCTCCCTCTCGTTCTCCCCCCCTCCCCCTCCCTCTCTCCCTCTCGTTCTCCCCCCTCCCCCTCCTCTCCCTCTCGTTCTCCCCCCTCCCCCTCCTCCTCTCCCTCTCGCTCTCCCCCCCCCTCCTCCTCTCCCTCTCGCTCTCCCCCCTCCCCCTCCTCTCCCTCTCGTTCTCCCCCCCTCCCCCTCCTCTCCCTCTCTCCCTCTCGTTCTCCCCCCCCTCCCCCTCCCTCCTCTCCCTCTCGTTCTCCCCCCCCCTCCCCCTCCTCTCCCTCTCGTTCTCTCCCCTCCCCCTCCTCTCCCTCTCGCTCCCCCCCCCCCCCCCTCCTCCTCTCCCTCTCGTTCTCCCCCCCTCCCCCTCCTCTCCCTCTCGTTCTCCCCCCCCCTCCTCCTCTCCCTCTCGTTCTCCCCCCCCCTCCCCCTCCCTCTCTCCCTCTTCCGAAGTGCTTTCTATAAGTTACCAGAACGTCAAATGGTCGGCCATACGTATTGCGACCCATTAACCTTCCTTATATCAATAGTCTACAGTCTACGCAATCTGAGGGGGTGAGGGGGGGGTGAGGGTGGAGAGGGGAGAGGCGGGTGGGTAAAGGGACGAAGGGAGAAGAGAGAGAGGAGGAGAAAATGAGAGAAGGTGGAAGGGAGATGGATGAGGAAAGAAGTGATGGGGCAGGGAATGGGTTGTGCTAAAAGGGGATGGGGAGGTCGCTTATTCGAAGGATTTGCATAATGGAGTCTGTCTGTCTGTCTGTCTGTCTGTCTGCCTGTCTGCCTACCTGCCTGCCTGTCTGTCTGCCTACCTGCCTGCCTGCCTGTCTGTCTGTCTGTCTGCCTGCCTGTCTGTCTGTCTGTCTGTCTGTCTGTCTGTCTGTCTGTCTGTCTCTCCCTCCCTCCCTCCCTCCCTCTCTCCCTCTGCCTCCCTCCCTCCCTCTCCTTCTCTCTCTCTCTCTCTCTCTTTCCCTCTCTCTCTCTTTCCCTCTCTCTCTCTCTCCCTCTCTCTCTCTCCGCCTCCCTCCCTCCCTCCCTCTCTCTCTCCCCATCCCTCCCCCTCTCTCTCTCCCTCCTTCCCTCCCTCTCTCTCCCCCCTCCCTCTCTCTCTCTCTCTCTCGCTATCTTTCTCTCTTTCTCTTTTACTCTATCTTCTTTTTTTCTTTCTATTTCTCTTTCTTACTCTCTCTTTCTCTTTCTCTCTCTCTCTTTCTTTCATTATGATCTTGCTTCAGGATGTATATAAAAACCCATATTTCTTGGCAACTCATGAAATGTGTATACTATCCAAGGCCTAGTAGAGTCCTTTTTGCAACAACTGTAACAAAGATGTAAATATTAGCATTAATATAATCATTAGTAGTAGTACTTTTTTCTGAAATAATCATTATCAGCTGCATAATCACCTTTATCATACATACGACCATTACTGTTCTGGACAGGAGCACTAATACAAATTGAAGTGTTTATTCACCTACAACCCCCCCCCCCCAAAAAAAAAAAAAAAAAAAAAAAAAAAAACGGTGTTTACTTGGTGCCTTACTGTGTAAACATACCTATATACTGGAATGTATAATGACACATTTTATAACTCCTTAGTTGTTATTTTTTTCATCAGTAACGATGCTCAAACGAGGTTCTATTTTCAAAGTGGCTCAGACATCAAACGGTTTGAGCTTATGTTTCGCTACGTTGAAAAAAAAAACTGCTTCACTGGCACGTGGGACTTCAGAATTCTCTTTGCTGCCTGAGTGCATCAAAGAGGCGTAGTTGCATTGATTCAGACTCCATTCGAATCTGCGGTTGGCCTGCACTTTACCAAGATCATCGTTCATTATGTCGCTGCCGTCTAAGTGTTCGCTGGAAATTCTTGGGACCAACAGCGCTGTTTGGATCTGGCCACGGGGGATTAGTTTTCATATGCTGTTTGTACTTTTGATGGTAGATGTGAATTTAGGAGTAATAGGAAAAAAAACATGATATAGTACGAGAATATCACTCAAATATACCAGCTATAAAATCGACATTCCCAGAGATTTACCAGTCACGAAGACCATTCCAAAATGCCCGAGCATTCGGACACAATTCTGACCATTGACAGTGGGCAACTTCGACGAAGCTTGCTACTTGTTTTGAGTTTCATATAACCAAGATAATCACTCGAATCAGACTCAGAGACAAGGGAAACGTCCGTCACTCGTCTCCTTGATATAGGTTTGTTTACATTCGCGGAGGCAATCGCAAGGCACAGCGGACGTTTCCTCCAGGCGCCTTTGGGGTCGGTGCTGTTCTCGAGTCAAAGCTGGCTCTCCCGAAGTAAAGGCCTTGTCTCTGAGCCACAGAAACCTCTCCGTGTTGAAAGGACTGAGCATCGAGGTTAACAATATGGACCTGCTGCCAAACACCAGCCCATTTGAGTGTGGGAAGTTGGTGAACAAACGAGTAACAACGCCAAAGAGATGATGGACATGTGCTGCACGGGTAAAGGTCACGATGTGTATGAAACAAGGATAAAAAAACAAGAAAGCGTCATGCAATTCTGACTTGCACTGACGTAAACAC